TATATAACACACATAAAATGAACATAAATCAGTGCTTGGTTGTGATTTTTCTATAGGACACTATTCATCGTCTGTCCTCCAAATCCTAACTTAATTTGTTGGATGGGGGATAGCATCTCCTCCCACCTTGAAAGACCAAATCCAAACGTAATTTGTTGGGGGCATAACATCTCCCTCCTCCACGTTTGTATGAATTATGCTTACGCTATCAATCTTTTTGTTACGCCACAGTATGATTTAACTTACCGAGTAAATTGCAGTGTGTTAAACCCATCTTACAATATTACAAATCATTCATAATACATATTACGAAAAATGTCATCAAGCTGGCCACCGAGTCTCATAATCCTCCGATCATCATGCTGGCCACCAAGTCTCATAATACAGATTACCGAGGCAGGCATGTAAGTCATGTGGTAGGTGCGAGCACAAGTCTAGACTCACAATGTCTCGATTAGACCTGATGAGGGTAATAATGGCGATATGACGTGCCACGATGTCAGTCACGCCTGGATGACACTCTGCCCAAAGAGGGTAATAATGCTGACACGATGTGCGCTGACGTCACTCACTCTCAGACAACGACTTCAACGTTGTCTGACATCAGAGGTACGATCCTGCTCCTGCAGGCAGACACATAAGGTAACACTAAATTTCCCTATAAATACCCCTGAGTTCTAAACGATGAAAGGAGGAGAAAAAACAGACAGGAGAACATACCACTTCCCATCACTAACTTGATCGTCGGAGGGGTCGGGCCGAGCTTCCGACCCAACCTGTGTGCAGGTACAAGGACGGGGTTACTTCTTCCCGGCGCTCCGGAAAAGCTTCCCTCCCGACGCAACGTCCCGACCGGACCACCGTAATCGGCCACCTCGACGGTCTCAAGGAACGCCGTACGAGGTCCCCGCCCATTCGGACCCGAACCAAGCCGTGTTGGCCCCGAGGTCACGCCATAAAGTTGTTTACACTAACAGATTGACGCTAGAAGGAGGGCTGAGCCATACCCCTCGGCCGTAGCCCGCCTGCATCATGCTCCTCGGCCTCATCTTGCCCGAGACTACACCTGCGCGACCTGCCCGCCTGCGTCGTGCTCCTTGGCCTCATGTTGCCCGAGACCACACCTGCGCGGCATGCCCGCCTGCGTCGTGCTCCTCGACCGCATGTTGCCCGAGACCACGCCTGCGCGGCCTGCCTACCTGCATCGTGCTCCTCGGCCTCATGTTGCCCGAGACCACACCTGCGCGGCCAGCCCGCCTGCGTCGTGCTCCTCGGCATCATGTTGCCCGAGACCACACCTGCGCG